ATATTGTAAAGCTATAGAGATGGAAACAACATGGAACTGATTTAAGACTTAACAAAGAGATCATTATAAGAGAATCAGGAATTCAGAAATAGACCCATACATATGCAGGAGTTTAGTAAATAAGACTTCTGAAATGGTAGAAAAAGAACTGGCTCATCAATAACTGAAGTGTTGATTCTCCAATTTAGAAAATAAAATGTAAAAAAATGTATTTTTATTCTACATATATATTTATATGTGCTACAAATATGTCCATGAATATAGCAGCACACACAGGGGGCAAAATTGTGAAAATGTCTAAGCCATAATTAAACACCTTAAGGGAAGGAATCACTGGGCCTGGGAACTCAGGACCACAGTTTTGGGGGACATCAAGGTCAACTGACACAATATAGTCCACAAAGAAAATATTCTCCATCCTATTTTGGTGAATAGCAACTAGAGTCTTAAAAGCTTGTGGGCAGCCATCTAAGGTGCAACTATTAGTTTATTCCTGTCTGAAGCAAAGAAGAGTGAAGAAAACCAGACACATGGAAACAATTAGTCCAAAGGACTAACAGACTATGTGAACCCCAGCCTCCATGATCTTGAGACCAAAAGAACTAGATGGTGTTCAGCTACCACTGCTGACCATTCTGAAAGGCATCACAATAAAGAGGTCCTGGATAGAGTGGAAGAAATATGTGGAACAAAAATCAAAATAATAAAAAAAGACCAGGCTTACTGATCTGATAGACTTGTGGAACCCGCGAGACTACGGCCCTTGGACACCCTTCAGGCCTGGAACCAAACTTACTCTCATGGCTCAACTTTTAGCCAAACAATAGAAAGACCTATAATGTGAACAGTAACACCAGGGAGGTACACATACCTTAGAATAACCAATCATATGAGATCAAAAAGGCAGCATTTGCCCAGGGATAAAGCTCAGGAGGCAGGAAGGGATAGGAAAGAAGGACGAAACACAGGGAAGAAGTGGGAAGAGTGCTGTTACACTGTGGGGATTAAAAAGAAAAAGGAAAAAAAAAGATTAATAAAACTTATATTTACCAAACTGATAAATGTCTGTCCCTTTTTGCTTTAATTTACATTACTCTCAGTTCTTGTATAGCTGGGATTTTCTTTATATGCTTATTAGTTACATAGGTTTATTTCTTTACTGATTTGAATACTGTTACTGGGTCTATTTTACACATAAGCATACAGAGGTTTGGGGAATTAGTTAAGTGAATGACCTAAGCATACATGGCTACTCAACGGCAGCGGTTCTTCTGTCTCTGGCTAGCTGAATTTGTTTGTTGCCCTACCTGTCTGTGTCACTAACTTTGTCTGATTCTTGTTTCTCTCTTTCTGTTGATCTCTCCATCTCTTTCTCTGTCAACTTTAACAAGCTGTAATAAATTTTGCAGAGTCAAAGGGCAAGGACTATGAAGCTAGACCTCCTGGGTTCAAATCTTGCTGCACTACTAATTGCCTACATGACTTAAACAAGTCCCTTTACCTCTCTGAGCCTCAATTTCCTCCAGTTATAACATGGGACTAACAACTATCCTTAACCTGTAGAATTATTTTTACAATTCAAGAATAAATATTATGTGAGGCAAATAGCTATTTATACATTATGACCTCAATGCAAATGCCTCAACCATCCCACAGAACAATGGGTTTCTCTATATAGGTAGTCCCCAGGTTACAAATGAGATCCGTTTCCAACTGTCTTTAAGTATTTATAGATCAGTTAAAATAGGTGCACATGGTTCATGCCTTACTTTAGTGCAAGAAAAAGGAGCTTTCGTGGCACAGTAGTTAAAGTGCTCAGCTGCTAATTGAAAGGCTGGCGATTTGAACTCACCAGCCACTCTGTGAGAGAAAGAAGTGGCAGTCTCATTTCATAGATTTACAGCAGTGAAAACTCTATGAGGCAGTTTTACTCTGTCCTACAGGGTTGCTAAAGGAGCTCTGGTGGTGTAGTAGTTAAGGCACTCAGCTACTAACCAAAAGGCTGGTGGTTTGAACCCATGAACCACTCCACAGAAGAAAGATGAGGCAGTATGCTTCCATAAAGATTTACAACTTTGGAAACTCAGTGTGGGGTGCTATGAGTCAGAATCGACTCAATGGCAATGAGTTTGGTTTGGTTTGGTTGCTATGAGTTGGAATCAACTTCACAGCAGGATGTTTCTGAGTTTAGTGTAGAAGCCGAGGCAGTTGGTGATCACTAGGCAGTATCACTACTACAGAAGTAGGATTGCCCAACCTTCCTTCCGAGGAGTGGCTGGTGGGTTTGAACCGCCAGGCTTCTGGTTAGCAGTCAAGTGCCTTAGGCACTATGCTACCAGAGCTCCCAAACAGGCATAGAGGCTATGATTTACAATATATCACAAAATGGAGGACTATGGCTGAGGGCCATATTAAGCAATTCACTGAACTGCAACCACTTAACTGTAAGTACAGTTTGTGAGTTCTGTGAGATGTTGCAGTGAATTATCAAACCCAAAGACAGAAGAGTACTGAGGGGAGAGGGCATAGTTAGTATTAGAGACGGAGTGGTACAGCAGCTTAAAGAAGGATATTTGGGACATCTTTAACTCCTGCCTCATAGGAAACAGCTTTGTGCTGATTCTTATTAAAAGAACTCATTCGTTTAATCCCAAATGGACATGCGAGTTTCCTGATGCTGGGAATCATGTCTTCCAACTCCCCAACTTTTTATTTTAAAAAATTACAAACCTACAATAAAGTTAAAAGAAATACATTGGATACCATATATTCCTTCATCTAACTCCTCCAACTATTACATTTTTTTTGCCATATATACTTCATCTCATGCACTAGGTATATCCTTTATTATTTTTTGCCAAATTATTTGCAGACATCATGATATTTTACTCAAATATATAACTTTTCCCCAAGAATAAAGATATTTTCCTTCAATAACCATGATACCATTACCACATCCAGGAAAGTTAACACTGATTCAATACTGTTATCTAACATATGGTCCCATAACCAAATTCTTGGGACCGTGTCATAATTTATCTGTGTGTTCCTAGGTACTAGGCACAGGCAAAAGTGAAAAGAAACAAGCATGAAAAGAGAAGTGGCTAAGAGACAAAAGGAACAAATGAGTGAGCAAAAGTGCAAATAAAGGATAATAGGTACAGAATGAGAAAATTAATAAATACAACAGCCATTATTATAATAAGCATTGTTATATTTAGATATTATAATACATACAATGCCATAGCTATATTATTGTATTACATAATATAATTATGTTACTAGATTACATGCTATGATATAATACAATAAAACAAAATAATCATTACTATTAGAGCTAACATTTTTGAGCATTCACTCTGTGGCCATGCTGTCCCAGGCATTTTACATGAAAAGTCTCTGTTTAATCCTCCCAACAGCCCTAAGATAATTATCTCTATGTTATAGGTGAAGAAATTGAGGCCCAGTGGCCAAGATTCCCAGCTCACAGAGAAGGAGTGTATTGGCAGGGATGGAGTCACAACCCCCATTCTATGGGGAAAGAGTTCCAGAGCAGTGCCCTTGGGGTACTGGGTACTCACTGTCCTCAGTGGGCCGGATGTCTACACGTAACTGCAGGTAAGGTTTGGAGGCAGTGACAAAGGCTGTGCTGAGGTCCCAGTCAGATAGGAGTGATAGGTAAGCTTCTTGTCCTAGCCGATCCCGGCCCAGGTAGCTGATGCCAAAGTTCTTTTTCCTGCACAGAGACATTGAGAAGTCTCAGTGCCTCTAGTATCTTGGAGGCCTCAGGGGCAGTTTCCAGAATGAGGAGGGGAAGTATGCGGAAGGTATTGAAAACAGCTTCTTCCTATGTGCTGGGTACTAGTAAGGACTGCAGACAGCCTGAGGCCTGGTCATTTATATTCATTTTATTACATATACAGAAACAGACACATACTTGCTTATATTTGGAAGGCACATTAGAAAGTAGTAAAATGTTGTTCCCCTCTGGGGAGGGTAACAAGATAGTTGGGGAATAGGAATGGGAAGAAAGCAGCCTTCTACATTAAAAAATACAGCAGTCTGTATGCTTATTATTTTTCACAACAGAAGTGTTTATGTGGAGGAAAGGGTTGTGTTTACGAAGGAAAGGATGAATGTTTGTTTAGGAGGCACTGAGTTTAAGTTAATGATGGTGGAATGATTTGGAAAAGGATAGTGAGAACGGTTGTACAACTTGAGGAATGTAATCAATGTCACTGAATTGTACAAGTAAAAATTGCAGAGATGGTATATGTTTTGTTATTTATATTTTCACAATTAAAAAATAATAAATGTAGCATTTGTTCAAAAAGTTTACACAAAAAGTGAAGTAACTAAGAATTTATTTTTCAGATACATACGTGCAACATGCAAAGATGTTGTGTGATAAACAGTGTAATGGAAACATCCTTAATACCCATCACTTTTGTACAATTTGGAATCTTATCATGTGCCTGTACATCTCTAAAAGAACCACAACAAAATAACCATCACATCTGCCCCCAAGAGACACCACTTTTCATCTATCGGGCTGGTAAATTTTACAATGTCTTATTAATAACAAGTGTTTGTGAGGGTGTGAAGGAAACAGGAACCCTATGCTGCTTGTGAGATTAAAAATGGGTAAAAACAATTGTACTGAGTAATTAAACATTAGTTTCTTTTAAAAATGCAACTCCAATCAAATTTCTATCAGGATTTTAATGGAATAAGCTAATTCTATTAAATGAAAAATATACAAGATACTCAAAAGTTTTAAGAGGAAGACATTCATAAAATGGCAAAAGTTTTGTTACATATATTTTACAATAAATTCCTATGGAAAAAAAAAAAGACGACGACATGAAAATATAAAGCTAAAAATACTGGTAAAACCTGTCTGGAGAGCATTTTGGAAACATCTGTTGAAATTTTTTTTTTAAATACACACCCTTAGCCAACAAAGATATTAAGAATTTATCCTATGATTGTTGTTGTTGAGTGCCATAGTGACCCATACGACAGGGTAGAACTGCTCTATAGGGTTTTCTTGGTTGTATTCTGTACAGAAGCAGATGGCCAGGTTTTTCTCCCACCAAGCCACGAGGTGGGTTCAAACCACAAACTACCAGCAGCCAAGCGCTTAACTGCTGAGCCACCATGGCTTCTTCATCCTATGACTAGACTTCCCCAAATACTTCAAGATATGTACATGTGGCTATTCACCATGAGATTATTTGTAATAGTAAAACAAACAAACAAAACCCCTACCAATGTATGCCAATGTTTGTTGCAGCATTATTTAAAACAGCCAAAAGGAAACAACCTAAATGTGCATCAACAGATGAATGGATAAACAAAATGTGTTATATACATATAATGGAATACTAATCAGTCATAAAGAGAAATGAACTCCTAATACATGCTACAATATGGATGAACCTTGAAAACACTATGTTGAATAAAGTAAGTCAGACACAAAAGGACAAATATTGTATGATCCCACTTATATCTAGAATAGCAAGACATAATTATCGAAATTGTCTAGAATTCTAGAAATATCTAGAATAGACAATTATATAGAGACCAAAGTTTATTAGTGGTTAACAGAGGCCAAGGGGAAGGGGGAGTGGATGGGGATGGGGATGGGGATGGGGATGGGAATGGGAATGGGAATGGGGATGGGGATGGGGATGGGGATGGGGAGTTATTGCTGAAGGGATACTGAGTTTCTGTTTGGGGTGATGAAAAACTTTTGGAAATGGGTAATGGTAATGGCTGCCCAACATGGTGAATACGATTAATGTCACTGAATTGTGCATTTAAAAGGTTAAAATAGAAAATTTTTATTGTAATACTTTATCACAATTAAAAAAAGAAAAAACAATAACCCCAAATATTAAAGGAGGTAGTTTTTGGAGCAGGATTATTGGGACTATGTCTTAAATTTATGTGGTTGAGTTTTTGCTGTTAGCACGTATAATGCTTTTATAGTAAAAGAATATATTTTTTAACATTTTGTTTTGTTTTTACTTGAATGGTACCAACTCAATGTTGGAACAGCAAAATATGCTGCTCAGAAGCTTTGGTTATTATATATGTCTTACATATATAATAATTTGTTATCTAATAAATAAGAGTTTTTTAAAAAAAACTCCCAAACAAAATATTGAAACAATTCCTGCTGAGGTGGGTAGCCCACTGGCCAGTTCCCAGTTTCCCCTCACTCACCCATTCAAGTCAAAAGCTCTGATGAGGATGTGCTGTAACACATCCAGAGACGTGATCTGGGGGTCGACAGCAAAGGAACGGAACTCAGGCGGCAAGAAGTTCTCACACTTCTGGGGAGAGAAGACACAGGGCAGGCAATAGGGGCCACATCACCATGCTGAAGTAGAATGAGTGAGGTACACAATGACAGAAGACAAAGTCAGAGAGTGCCAGGGGCCAGATGGAGGACATTCTGCGTCATGGTGGGACTTTGTTTTTGCTCTGAGTGAGGGGGTAGCCACAGGAGGGTTTTGAGCAGAGGAAGGACTTGACCTGACTCAGGATTTAACAGGATTCTTCTGACTGCTAGAAGAACAGACTGGGGGAAGTGGAGAGATACCTGAGTCCAGTGTGGAAGAGGCTTCTGTAATGATCTAGGCAGGCACTCAATCCTTTTTTTATACCCCCAGTATCACCATGTCAGTCCAACTCTATTAAATCACTCCTCCATGCTGCAATCAATGTTAGCACATTTATCTACAACATTCCTCTGCTTAAACCTCTTAGGTGGTAACCCTCAACCTGCAGCAGAAGCCCCTGGATCCCCAGCCAGCTTCTCTCCAGTTAGCTTTCTAGATTTTGCACTCTGGTACCACCAAACTTCTGGAAGTTATGTTGAACACATCATGGCTTCAAACCTTTGCTTATGCAAATCCCCACCCACCCCCCTACCCCCACCTGCAAGGTCGTTCCACTTTCTTCACTTGGCTTACAGCTCAGGCATCATCTCTTTTCTGAACTCTCTAACCTCTACCATGGGAGCTCAGGTGGAGTAGTGCCTAAGGCATTGACTGCTAACCAGAACGCTGGCGGTTCAAACTCACCAGCCACTCCTCAGAAGGAAGATTGGGCAATCTACTTCCATAGTGTTATGCCTTGGAAACCCAAGGGGGGGTCGCTATGAGTAGGATCCAATTCCGTGGCAGTGAGGTTTTTTTTTTTTTGGTAACCTCTACCATAGTGCTTCCTCTATTACACTGAAATGATCCGCACTTTTCTCCAGAATTTATCCTCTTCTCATTACTGCCACTGACACCACTCTGTTCCAAGCCACCATTACTGCTTGCCTGGACTACTGCAACAGCCCTTTTACTCAGACTATACATCAAAGAGGCACCCTACTGATGCAGTGATTAAAGCGCTCAGCTGCTAACTGAAAGGTCAGCAGTTCAAATCCACCAGCCACTCCAAGGGGGAATGATGTGACAGTCTGCAGATATGGCACTAGCTTCTGTAAAGATTTACAGCCTTGGAAACCCTATGGTTATGGAATCCACTGGAGGGCAATGGGTGTACACCAAAGACCCTTCATAATCTGCCCCTGCCTTTCTTCTCTAATTGACCTCCTACCACTCTTCCTTACTCTTTCCACTCCAGTAATAGGGGAAACTGACAAGCTCATCTCCAATCTTTGCCGTTGCTGTTCCCTCTGCCTAGAACACTCTTTCCTCTTTGCCTCCCACATATGCACGTGCATGACTTCTTTTTATTCTTTTCCCTGCTCCTCTAGGACTCTCCCTGTACAACCTTGGTTAAAGTAACTCCCTAGTACATCACCCTTTTCATTATTTCCTCATGGAATTCATCAGTGTCAAAACCATGTCATTTATTTAGCTTTCTCCCCCACAAACATGTCAGCTCATCAAAAGTAGCGACTCTCAACACATTTGTTGACTGACTTCAGATCCCACCTCCCCTCCATTCCTCACAGCCCCAGCCCTCAACTACTATGGCCCCTCCTCCAACTCTACAACCCCTTCCCTCTACCCATTATCTTCATCTATCCATTTCATAGGCCCTCACCCCTTCATTTTTCAGTCTTTCACTATAAGCTATGTCCCTAAAGCCTCACGCCCTTAGGCCCTGCCCCCGTATTCCCAGGTTCAGCTTTCCCCCTACCATCACTCTGCCCTCAAACCTCACCCCTCAAGTAACGCCCCAAATCTCAGGCACCACCGTCCAATCTAGGACAGCCACTGCCTTCTCCTCCCCTGAGACACCGGGGCAGGCAGGCAGACCAGCTACCGGCCTCACCTTGACTCGGACCCGCACCACCTCCCGCTCCTCCTCCTCAGCCGCCGCCGCCGCCTGTGCTCCCCTGCCGGGCGGAGGCGCTCTGAGTCCGGCCAAGTCCAAAGACCCTGAGGCCGTCGCCATCCCGCCGCCGCCCGCTCAGTAGGACGGTTGAACGTTGCCCACTACCCCTTACGCTCCTCGAACCCTAGAACACCCGCGCCAGCGACCCCACCTTGCGCCGGGGCGCAGGCGCAGAACGCGCCGCGCGACCCTGCCCCCACAGCCCCTCCCGCCTGGCAATGGGTGAATATATGCGCATGCGCCTAGTGTGCTGTTGTCAAAGGTCCCGCCCCCAAAACCAAGAATTTTGCTTCTCCTTTGCTAGTGTGCAGGCGCTTACTGGGGCCTCGCCTCCTCTTATCCCTGGGTTTGGTTGTTTTGGCAGTTTACTTCCGGATTCACCTAGCTATGTGTTAAAGTGACTACCTATTTTCGGGCGAGAGAAGTGGCGGGCAAAGGAAGCTGCTGCGCGTTAATCAAGGCCCCAGATTTCGCCCCAAATCGCCCAAATTCATCTGTGCTGACAGATGATGTCATCCATCTCAAATAGTTGTGGTAGCTTGAGTCCACTGGACTGAAAAAAATTCTTTTTCCAGAGCGTTTTAAAAAATGGTATACCAAAAGGACGAATATTGTAATGATTCCACTTGTATGAAATATTAGAATAGGCAAATGCCTAGAAACAAAAGTTTATTCGTGGCTACCAGGGGCTAGGAGCTCTGGTAGCATAGTGCCTAAGGCACTTGACTGCTAACCAGAAGGCTGGCGGTTCAAACCCACCAGCCACTCCTCGGAAGGAAAGTTGGGCAATCTACTTCCGTAGTGATACTGCCTCGAAAACCCAAGGAGGGGTCCCTATGAGTCGGGTCCGCCTCGAGGGCGCATAACACCACCACCACCACTAGGGGCTAGAGGAAGGAGTAAATGGTGAATTATTACTGAAGTACTGAGTTTCTGTGTGAGGTGATGAAAACTTTAAGAAATGGATAATGGTGATGGTTGCACAACACAGTGAATGTAATTAATGCCACTGAATTGTACACTTAAGAATAAAGTGGCAAAATTTTTGTTACATATCATTGACCTGAAGGAGCTCTGGTGGCATAGTGCCTAAGGCATTTGACTGCTAACCAGAAGGTTGGCGGTTCAAACCCACCAGCAGTTTCCTCAGAAGGAAGGTTGGGCAATCTACTTCTGTAGTGATACTGCCTGGCAACCCAAGGAGGGGTCGCTATGAGTCAGGACCGACTGGACGACGCACAACAACAACATTTTCCATTAGTGAAAATTCATGGAGCTGCCTGTTTATGTTTTGCAGTTTCTGTACACATGTTCAGAATATTCATTAAGTTATCAAAATAGCCATGTTTATGTTATCTGGAGGTCCTAGCTTTTTAAGTTCACCTTCATCTTATTTAATTCTCACAACATAGTGAGGTCAGTCCTGTTATTAAATGGTGTGTGTCCACTAAATATAGATTAAATGGATGAATATATCTTAGATTGTTTTGAGAAACTTATGTGTTGCAAAACGCAAAAAGGCAATCTCTCCACTTCATTACACAACATCCATGCAATTTGGGTTTCAAAAAAAAAATCAACTGCTCTTAAAAATATTATTTCTAACAAAGGAGTCTTGTAAAATGCCTGGAATTCAGTTAGTGTTGCAGTGTTGTAAGGATGCTACCCTTAAAGTTAACTTTTTAGAAAAGTCTGCAATTCTGTTTTGGTATCTTTTAAAATAATTTGTTGCCTTTGTATTAATATTTAAAGACGTATGTATCTCTACTTTCTGGAAGGTATAACTAGTGGGGAATTTTCTTTGAAATACAGAAGAGAGTTATTGGCACATATCTCTTGTCCCAGTGCATGGAGTGAAAAACACACCATAGGTGCTGCTGGATTTTCTGATTGAAACAGAAGTTTGAGAGTGGGCTTATCATTTAAATTACAGGGTAGGATGAGCAAACCATTATCCTGGATCTTGGAATTTAACCTGAAGGCATAGGGGCACAAGTTTTAGACAAGGGTGATATGGTCAGAGACCTTGTCTTGGTTGTGGAGAGAGCCTCGGATGGAAAGGTACTAGAAGCAAGGAGATCATTGCCATTGGCCTGGGGAGAACTTTCTTTCTCGTTTGTTTATTCATTCTTCCAGTTAACAAATAGGGAACGCTGAGGGTACAATAGTTAAGTGCTCAGCTGCTAACCAGAATCTCAGAGGAGGTTGGAACCCACCAGATGCTTGATAGAAGAAAAGACCTGGCAATCAGATTCTGTTAAGATTTCAGCTTAGGAAACCCTGTGGGGCAGTTCTGTTGTCCTATAGGGTCACTATAAGTTGGAATTGACTCTACAGCACACAACAACATGCCAGACAGTCCACATATATTAATCTATCTAATCTGCATTAAAAACCCTATGAGGTAGATAATGTTATTATTAGCATTTTACAGATGAGCGCATTGAAGGCCAGGGAGTTTAAGAAACATGCTCAAGGTCAAAGGGGTAGTAAGTGGCACAGAGAGCAGCCTGTATGATGGATGGAGGGGGTTGTGCTTGGTGTATTTGAGGAAGAGAAAGGAGGTTAGCATGCCTTAACAAGAGTAAAAGTATATGAGGTGAGAAAGTAATTGGTGGGAGGAGATCATTCAGAGCCTTGGCCTCAAGTGAGCATCAAAAGCTACACTGTAAGCCCAAGGAGAGCCAGGATTTGAACAGAAGCTATGCTCTACACAGGTCAACTGGAGCCAGTCTACTGGTATCTCTAGTTTTATTATTCTTTGTCAGCTCCTCAAAATTCCTCAAGCACTCAATTGTTTTATGACTGAGAGTGCATGAGGTGAATGATAAGAGTATGAGGTGAGTGATGGGGTCTGTAGGGTGAATGATGAGAGATCTGTGGGGTGAATGATAGGGGATCTATAGGAAGAGTGATGTTAGATCTATGGGGTGAATAAGGATCTGTGGGTATGTGATGAGGGTTCTGTGAGGTGAGTGATGGGTCTTAGTGGGGTGAGTGATCTATGGGGTTAATTATAGGGTTCTGTAGGGTGAGTGTTGGGTATGTAGGATGAGTGATGGGGGGCACTGTGGGGTAAATGAAGGGAGGCCTGTGGGTTAAGTGATGGGCAGTCCTTAGGTTGAGTAATGAAGGGACCAATATGCTGAGTGATTGGCATCTGTGTAGGGGGATCTGTGTGTTGTGTGATGGGGTCTATGTGATGAATTATGGGGTATGATGGGCAAGTTAAAGAGAGTCTGTAGGGTGAGTGATTTGTGGTCTGTGTGGGTAATAACAGGTATATGGAGTGAGTGATGGGTTTGTGTGGTTTGAGTGATGGGACATTTGTGGGGTGGATGAGGGTCTGTAAGGTATGTGATATGTGGTGTATAGGGAGAGTGATTGGGGTCTGTGGAGTGAATGATAAGGGTTTGTGGGTTGAGTGTCGGGGATTTCTTGTTGAGTTATGGCAGTCTGTGGGGTTAGTGATGAAAAGTGAATGATGGGATTTTTGTGGGGATGATGATTAAAGGTCTGTGGGTCAGTAATTGGGTTGTAGGATGTGATGAGGGTATGTGGGTTGAGTGATGGGGTCTATGGAATAAGGGATGAAGGACTGTGAGGCAAGAGATTGGGGGGTCAGTGAGGTAAGAGAAAGGGATCTATGAAGTGACAGAGTATATGGAATAATTGATGGATCTGTGGGGTGATGAGGGGTCTATGGGGTGAGAGATAGGGGCTTTGTGGAGTGAGTGATAAGGGTTCTATAGTATGAATGATAGGGTTAGTGGGTGAGTGATTAAGATTATGGGGTGATAGTGTCTATATGGTAAGTGATGGAGGTCTATGAGGTGAGAGCTGGGGTTGTGGGGTGTGTGATGGAGGGCCAGGGGATCAGTGATATTAGAGTGAATGACAGGGGGTCTATAGGGTGAGTGATGGAGTGCTTGTGGAGTGATCTGAGGCCTGTTTGTGGAGTGAGGGGCTATCTGTAGGGTGAGTGATAGGGTTTGTGGGTTAAGTAATAGGGTCTGCATGGTAAGTAATAGGGCTCTGTGGGTGAATGATGGGGCATCTCTGGGGTAAATAATGGGGTTGTGGAGTACATGATGAGGGCTCTGCAAGATGATTTATGGAGCAGTCTGTGTTGTGATAGCGGTCTGAATGATGTGGGGTTTGAGGTATGAATGATGGGAATCAGTGGTGTTAACGATGAGGTCAGTAGGTTGAGTGATGAGGATGGGGTCTTTGGTTGAATATATAGGGCTTATACAGTATGAGTGACAGTCTGTGGAGGGGGTGATAGGGAGTCTATGGAATGAATTATGGCTTCTATTGGGTGAGTCATGGGCTTTGCAGGGTGAATGTGGGTTCTGTTGGATGAATTTTTTTTTTTTTTTTTTTTTAGGGGATTTG